AAGTGGCAACCCTAGGGGCGCCTGGGTGGCTGTCGGGTTAAGTGTCTGCCTTCAGCTCAGGTCATGATCCCAAGGTCCTGGGATCGAGCCCCACATGGGGCACCTTGCTCAGTGGGGAGCCTGCTTTGCCTGCCACTCCCCCTGCTTGTGCTCTGACAAAATCTTTAGGGTTGCTACTTTTTACAGTATCTTCTCTGCTTTATATACAAAATGAGTTGTGTAAAGTTCTAGCCAGATTTCAGGTGTCTCAGTGTGGGGACCTACTGAAATAAAGACGAGTCCTCTCCAGCCACTCTTTTTAAAACAACTTGAGGGGCGCCTGGGTGGCTCAGTGGGTTAAGCGTCTGCCTTCAGCTCCGGTCATGATCCCAGGGTCCTGGGATGGAGCCCTGCATCAAGCTCTTCCCCCACCGCCCAGCTTATGCTCTCTCACTCTCAAATTTTAAAATATTTTGAGTAAGAACAGTGGGGAGAGGGAGAAGCAGGCCCCCCACCAAGCAGGGAGCCTGACATGGGGCTCGATCCTAGGACGCTGAGATCATGACCTGAGCTGAAGGCAGGCGCTTCACCGACTGAGCCACCCAGGTGTCCTCACTGTCCCTGTTCAACTTGCTCTCTGCTCTCCCTTCCCCTCCCAGTGCATTCCCCCACTCATGTAAAACCCACCCTCCAGAGGGCAGTGTTTGATGGCCACCTCCCCTTCATCCCTCCTTTATTTTCCAGCAGCTTCCTGTGAAAAGGGGACATGAGGGAATTTTAAAATTTTGAATCATGCTTTGCTATCAGTAGGTTTCTTTTTCCTCCATGCAGGCTGCATATTAGGCCCTTTCTGGGGGAGATGTTTAAAAGGAGCTTCCCTTTGCTTTCCTGTAGGGGAACTCCTGCTTGTGTATGTGTCCCTTATATGTTAGGTAAAACAAATTTCCTGTTATAAAACCAGTGCCAAATCCTGGTTTGAGAAGCCTTGGGGTGCAGAGACTGGTGAGCAACAGGAAGAAGTTGACAGCTCTGGCTGAAACTTGATTTAAGGCGTTTGATGGTGGTTTCTATCTTACCTCTAGTATCCCTCCCAAACCCAAAAGAACAACCCTACCAATTAAAAACTGTAAACTCGTTTTTCTATCATCTAAAAGAAATTGTAAAAGTAAACTTTAAAGATGAAGACAACTCAGAACTATGTAGACACTAAAGTAAGCTTTATAATCTTTATGCTTTTTTCTTACTACCTGCTCCCGACACCATCTTTGGAAACTCCTTGCACCTCATTCAATGCTTTCTTGAAGACAGCAGCCCTGCCCACCATTCCTCAGAATTCCGAGGGATTAAAATGTCTATCTTCTGATACTATTTTATATAAATGGTATTGACTTTTGATGCAGCTTCCTTTATCACTAGCAATGTATTTTATAAATTCATTTCCATCTATTTGCATTCATTTTAATGATCACTTTGCTTGGGGCACCTGGGTGGCTCAGTCATTAAGCGTCTGCCTTCGGCTCAGGTCATGATCCCAGGGTCCTGGGATCAAGCCCCATATTGGGCTCCCTGCTCAGTAGGGAGCCTGCTTCTCCCTCTCCTTCTGCCCCTTCCCCTTGCTTGTGCATCCTCTCTCAAATAATTTTTTTAAAAATTAAAGTGATCACTTTTTTCTTATGGCAGACTAAGGACAAAGTGTCCCTGAACTGTTTGTACCCCCTCCCATCTCACTCCTTCGAGACAACAAAGGTTCTTAGGTTCACAATAACTGGAACTACAAGTAGATTCCAGTTTTGCAAGAACCGGTGCCTTTTTCAGGGGGTGGATTGTTCCTTCTAGGAGAACCCTTGGAATGGACTGCAGGGTTTGTAAAGAAAGGCCTCAGCTTTTAAGATGGCTTTGCTCCAAGGAATTTCCCTGCACTGAATGGTAATGAAAAGTGTGGTGGCGTAGGAGAGGCAGTTCTTAAGAGGGAAAAATAGGGCCATAGCCCACCGCCAAGAGTAGGTGTGGAATGTGTGTTACCAGGTATTAGAACACCCCTGGCCCTTGGTCTGAACAAGAGTTTGCCTCCAACTGTTTCCATGGTCTAGAAGCTTCACGTCCTCACAGCACTGTGGCTTTAAGTTTGGTTTCCATGCCCTGGAGATGGCAGTGACTCTTCCACAGCTCCTCCCAACCCTTCCTCTGCTCAACTCTAGTCTCCTCACGCACATCACACCCTGCAGTTGAGCTCTCAGGGGTACTGCTCTCCACCCCAGGGGCTCAGTTCTGTCGCTGAGTATCAAGGACTAATTCCAAATGAAATTCCCTCAGCTAGATGCCAACAAAAGCACCTCGTTACACAGGGTCCTGTGTGTTAGCTGCTGACAGGAGGTCAGGGAGGAGCGTCGTGCAAGGTGGAATCTCGAGCCGTCCCTTCAAGGATGCCAGGTGGTTTAACTGGCTAACATGCTTGCTCGCCGTAGAGGATGCCCCTCTTTCAGGGATAACCCGCAATAGGGAACAGATAGGCGTTTTCCAGAGGTCTTGCAGAACAAGCTTGTAGGAGCCAGAGGTCATAAATTTGTACGGTAGATGTTTCACCTCTTTGCAACTAGTATTTGAAGACCACAGCATGCCATGCTTTTTATACAAATTGTTTGGAAGTCAGCCATCAATGCTCTGCCCATTTACCTATTGCGCCCTTCCTGTGCTGGTCACGTTTTGTGGACTCTTCTTCGCCTGCCCTGTTGCCGTTCATCTCCTTTTCATTCTCATGTGACTCTGGCTGGAATTAGTCAAATTAAGCTATGGGCATTTTATGGTCTTTCCCAGAAATGTCACATTGCTCCCTACTCCTGTGCCTTAGCCTTGACCCAGTCAGATTCTTTGCATTTGTTGAAGAGGCTCTGATACTCCGCTATCTTTGTCTAGCCTCATCCCTCTGGAAGCCATTTATCATGCTGACCACCCAGTCCTTTCTAGTAGGAATCCTCACAGAACAGAGCTGACAGTCTTATTAATTCCACATTAAAGGAAAACAGTTTACTTAAATAGGGTAAAAGTCTCTGATGCTTCCAAATCTTTTTTTGCAAGTATTTCAAATTATGTAAAATTAGTATTGAACAGAGGCACCAGGCAGGCTTAGTCATTAGAGCATGGGACTCTTGATCTGGGGGTTGTAAGTTCGAGCCCCATGTTCGGCAGAGAGTTTACTTAAAAAAAAATTAGTATTGAAAGTATTTTTCCTTTTGTCTTAATTCCATAGAATACTGGGAAAGAAGGGCAGACACAGGGTCACTTGGGAGAGAGTTGAACTGAATCACTGAAGTTAAATACCACAAGGTGGCACACTTTTCCCACTTAAAGGTAATTGTACTCTGCTTTGAGAACTCCCCGATACAAATAAGCAGCAAAATAACTTGAAGCTTTTTGCAATTATACTTGGAAATCACTGCTAAATGGTTTAAAGATCAGTTTAAGAGAAATGGTTGAGGAGAAATCTCTAGAAGTCAGGTGCATAGGAACTAATGTAATTCAGGCAGGAAGGTCTCTTGACATTTTATTTCCTTGTCATGTGGGGCCATATGGAATAGATGTCATCGACTCAGGGAATGTCCAAATGTAAGCCTTTTCTGTTTGCTTCCTAAAGTTTTGTTACATTTTGTGTGATGTGGGATGGATTAACTCCACCAAGTATTTCCTATCATGCAGACATAAAGATTTGTCCATACCAGGTATGTGATATGTAGGTACAGGAATGAAGGTGTAAAATGTGAGGGAGGAAGGAGAGAAAAACACTGGGTGTTGGGGAAAGGCTGGGCCTGGGAACTCCATGCCTGAGATGTGGGCAGGGGAGTATGAGGGCAGATCAGAGGCCTTGCTGGCTTCTGCTGTGATCTGGCACCGTGATCCCCATCCCACGGGGTCTTGCTGCTTAGTGCACATAATCTTTCCTCATCTGCATGGCAATCTGCAGAGAGAGAGATATGTGTGCAAACCCACAGTGAACCCCATTGCTCTTTACATGGCTATTGTCATTTGAGTATCAGCAAAGGGAATGTGCTGGCGCTGTTCCCCTGTGAGGACCTAGTCGAAGGGAGGAATAGTCTGGACAGTGGTGGCACTGAGCATCATTTCCGTGAGGATCTTACCCTCTAATGGTGGCCTCTTTATTGACCATCTTCTAGGTGTCTAGCACTAGAATGTATGTATGTAGATGCTGCACAAAGGCCAATTTTGGCCCAATAGGAGTGCTTACTGTGGTATATTCCTAATAGTTCATGGGTTCTTGCTCATAACACAGAAGAGTCAGTGATAGTATTATCTCCATCCTTGATTAGAAACAGGTTCAGGGCGCCTGGGTGGCTCAGTTGGTTAAGCGACTGCCTTCGGCTCAGGTCGTGATCCTGGAGTCCCTGGATCGAGTCCCGCATCGGGCTCCCTGCTCGGCGGGGAGTCTGCTTCTCCCTCTGACCCTCCTCCCTCTCATGCTGTCTCTCATTCTCTCTGTCTCAAATAAATAAATAAAATCTTAAAAAAAAGAAACAGGTTCAGAAGGGAGCCTGAGGGCGCCTGGGTGGCTCAGTTGGTTAAGCGACTGCCTTCGGCTCAGGTCATGATCCTGGAGTCCCAGGATCGAGTCCCGCATCGGGCTCCCTGCTCGGCAGGGAGTCTGCTTCTCCCTCTGACCCTCCTCCCTCTCATGCTCTCTCTCATTCTCTCTCTCTCAAATAAATAAATAAAATCTTTAAAAAAAAAAAAAAAGAAGGGAGCCTGAATTCAGACTCAGGTCTGTCTTACTCTAGAGCCCATGCCCCACCCCCCGCCTCCCTCCACTGCAGGGTGAAGCTCAGAGTTCAAAAGAAGGGTCTTTCACTGGAGGATTCAAGTCTGTGCTACACCACCTGGTAATAAATGAGGGGAAACCGTCAGGGTGAAGTTATACTGATCCTTTTACTTCTGTTTTCTTACCTTGGCAAGAATCTGACCGATTTCTGACAGAATCTTAACGGACATTTTAAAGTATACACATTGTAAAGTTTAAGATGATTTTTATTGAACAGGTAAAAGATTCACCTTTACATTATTAGAAATACAATAAATTTTTTTGGGTAAAAACTTCCTGGATTTATAGTTGTACAGTCAAAGAAATATATAAGTATGAAGGTCATTTTCCAAGTATTAGAACAATACTAATGGAATCACTTCCATAACAATTTTTTTTCCATAAACATTTACATGATTACCCACAAGTTGTATCAACTTCCAGAATAAGATGTATTTCCAAAAAACAATCAAACAATATATCCTAAGTATTCCTCTGCATGGGATTTGGTCAATGAATATCAGCAAGAGAATTTTGTTATATATATAAGATGAACATAAACATTTGTAAGTGCAGACTATGTTGTTGTTGTAAATAAAAAATTTTGCCACTTTGTCATATAGGGAGTAGAGACCACCCACATGACTATTTAAAATATACTGTGTATATATTCTCTTATGAAAAATCATGTATCTAAGGTAATAAGGCCTTTATTTCCAGAGTAGTCTTTAAATTTATTTCATCCTTTATATTTTTAGACTTTATATTCTTAAACATCTCAGCTATTAAAATTATGCATAGTACCTAAGCCAACACAGAAAGGGGCATTAATAATTTCAATTACAGTACTTGAATATATTCACATGACGTACCATTTAAGAGAACTGACCAAGTATAATTTCTGAACTGTCCCAGTTAGACCTGTTGAAATAAAATGCAACCCCATCACATAAGCCCAGTCTCTTTTAAGCACTATTATATGATTATGTAAGTATTACGTAGCCTAACACTTCAGAGCACTTATTTAATACTGTCAGCTTGAGTTTGCAAAGTGGTCTAGTTGGCGTGGCAATCCCAGTCTAAAATTACTTCTGAATGTCTTATGTTTTGGTTGGAGGTTAGCTGAAGATTTGTTTTCCTTCTAGTAACAAATGGGCTAAGTGGTGGACCTTGATGGCTCACAGTTTTCCCGCAAAAGCAAAACAAAATGCAAGAATCTAGTTTGGATATCATTTCTCTGATGGTATTTTCCTGGAATGGGATGGTGGGCTTTAGGATTCTTGGTCAAGACTTAGATTTTAAAGTACTAATCCACAACAGTTGCTGAATATGGAAGGCTTCCACACCTCAAAGGGGAGTCAACCATCAAAATGCAAACTGATGGCCCAGGGCTGCTCTGCCCGCTACCCGACATCCTCTCTGGTCTCAGTTACCAGCTCGAGTTGCAGGAAGTGGGCTTCGGACCGGCCTCTGTATTTCCCCCAAACAGGGTATTTAAGACTTCCTTATTTGATCACAAATAAATAGCTTTAATATACCATTAATCTTTCTCTAGCATAGGATTAGACAAAGACAATGTTATACATTTGCAAATTCTCCAAGACTGGGTGATTTGAAATTTGACTTTAAATAAAGACCAATTTATTAAGATCTAATTTTTCGAATCTAATTTTCTCAACTCCAAATGGAACCAAAAGTGCACTTGGTATTTAAAAAGCAACACTACATCAAAAACTAATGATGTACTGTATGGTGACTAGCATAACACAATAAAACAAATTTAAAAATTAAAAAAAATAAAAATTCCCAAATTAAAAAAAAAAAGCAATTTTTAAAAATAGCTACATCGTTAAAATATAGCTACACAGTACATGCTCTAAGAAAAACCAGAAAAGCCAGGCAGACATTTAAACAAACTTTAACGAATATTTCCAGGGGACTGTAAATAAATGTGATTGCAAAGTATGCCCACCAATGCCACACAAAATAAAAGGAATCCAGACTTCTGCTGACTTTTCCCTCATCAGTGTTTCTATTAAAATGACTTCCTACTACGTAAATCAAGATGTACCTGGTGGTTGCTAAAATTATAGAGGGCATGATTTTTTTTTTTAAAGATTTTTTATTTATTTGAGACAGAATGAGAGAGACAGAGAGCACATGAGAGGGGGGGAGGGTCAGAGGGAGCCCGATGCGGGACTCGATCCAGGGACTCCAGGATCATGACCTGAGCCGAAGGCAGTCGCTTAACCAACTGAACCACCCAGGTGCCCTAGAGGGCATGATTTTTATGCTTTTCAAGATCTCCACATTTTTAAAAAAATATTTCTATATCCTTTTAAATCCTGAGAGCCAGTCTTGTATAAAGGTATCAGGAGGCCGAGGGCAGGCAAGGATAAGATGGGCAATGCCTGGATTACAGGACCTTTTACATAGCTGAAGAATGTCCTCACTGAACTTTGCTTACAATTGATAGCTTTTATCATTTTCAAAATGGCAAAATTATTTGCAGAAGTGCCAATAAAAAATATAGCCTAGAAATATTTTGAAAATAGAAAAATATGTTCTTAAAACATGTCATAAATATCTGTAAACACTAGTTTCATATCTCTATTAAAAACTTTGACCCCCCCCCCAATAATATATAATGGTGGATCAGCTCACTTTGTTACAGAGAGCAAGCAAGTCTTTACCACTTAAGCTAACGGTTTTCCTTGGTTAGACTAAAATGGTCAGGTCAATTTTTTTCCTTTGTCAAAATAAAATAACAAAAGTATTACTAATGACTCAAACTCTATCTCTCAACATTCAAAAGATTCTAAAATGGGGTTTCACCTTTTTAAAAATATCTATTTGCAATAGAACTGGGTTAATTTAGAATACCTAATCCTTGGAATGTTAAAAAAATCTAAAACCCTAACACGAACTACTCAGAATTTTTCCAGATCTCCACATTTGGACATTGAAATATTTTCTTAGTGTATTTTCCCCTGACTTTGCCAACACAAAAATACCTAGACGAAAGTTATTCTAACGTATCGTGTTTTTTCTGCACACGGTTTTGAATGTAAGGACTGGGAATTACTGGTTCTATAGAACCTGCATTTTTCTTCAGTGACTGAGTGACTCCAAGAACATTAAAACTTGTCATGTAAGACCAGAAAAACTTCCCACCTGATAAAAAGATGGTCTATCTGCTGAGCTTGTTAAACTGGATCCAGATCAGATATTCTTACTTTTAAAGCTATATTGGATTATGTTATAGTCTACTGTCTCAAAACAACTACTGTTACAGTAAAGGAAAAAACAGAGTATCCCATTGTGCGGAGTTTAAAATAGAAAACCACGAGTCCATGTCAGTAATGTCAAGCAGCTGTCCCCTGTCTTATCTGCCACCTCCTTGGAATAATTTTCAGTTTCAGATATAAGTCTGAACTTACACAGAAAAGGCCACTGTTTCTGACCATGCTACAATTTTCCTCCTGTTCTGAATTCTGACTCCTGAAACCAGCAGATATTATTCAGTTAGAACAGCTCTTAAGGTGCTTATGGGAGCTTAACCTATTAAATATTAAACTTACCATGAATCTCATCTATAGCGCTAGTAGAGTTCTGCAGCTCATCTAACATTAACTAGTAACAATACGTGTTGCAAAATAATGGCATTACACTCATTCACATATCTCAGACTTAAACACACTCCATTTGTGACGGATACGGTGAGAATTAAGCATTCTACACATTTAAATTGTAGTATAACATTTTCCCCCAAACATGAACACCCAAACTTTATATCAATTACTTAATCAAGAAAAGTTACTAAGCAGTACAATACTGTAGGTAGGATAGCATCTGGGAGATTTCCTTAAGAGGTTATAACTATCTTGACAGAATTTATAGGGTCCAAATGATTCACTTACTACTGCCCAAACCTGCTGAGCACCTCTACTATAGGTTTTACACTTCAGTACGGAGCTGTACTCAGATGTATAGCGTTGCTTTCCCCACCTGGAGGTTCTGAAAGAAAAAGCAGGCTTTTCATTATCCTATGCAGTGACCGCGGAAGCCGTCTGCTGCTGGCAACACGTGGCCCAGCACCTGGATGCTACAGTTCTGATGTTCCCTTTCGGGGGGTGGGACAGGATGGTGGTGGGTACTTTCCGAGAAGAAATCGGTGTTGGCTTTCCTCTTAATAGAGGAACGTGCTTCATTTGTAAAATATGTTCATTTTCTCCTAAGTGCTTGAATGAAGTGCCTCGACAGCTTGACTGCCCACGTCTCAACCCCCCAGGGAAGCTTCAGTTCACCAGCTTGACTTCTAGCGTTTGATCACAACTTGTTCATAAGCTCCGGACCCCACCCTACAACAGGAGGGGGAAAAAAAAAACACTTCAAGATCTTGAGCTGTAATGCTTGAAACTGTTCTGGTTAACCTTGCCCTCAAAGAGATAGTGCATTAGGCATTTTCGGCTAGATTTGATTTCCACACGGTTTAAAGAGATCACAGATAGAAAATACTTGAAATATTAAATGTTTATCATCAATACGTTGGATTAGTCTAGTCACACTTATTCCTACAATAATCTAGTATTGTTCCTAAATCTTTAGCGTGTGGCAAGAAATCTTTTCTTGAAACCTGTTTATATGTAAATCCTAAAAATCAATCTCATCCAAGAGTATATACTGACTGGCAATTTATCCAGGCCTTGCAGTTAATGGGTGATTGTTTTTAGTGTGTGCTGTCTTAATGTACCTTTCTAGAAAGAATTCTTTTAGTCAACATGCCAATGTCTTCATTTTTTTTTTTTTTAAAGATTTCAAGTATTTATTTGAGAGAGAGAGAGAGAGAGAGATAGTGAGAGAGAGCAAGAGCAGGGGGAGGGGCAGAGGAAGAGGGAGAAGCAGACTCCCCGCTGAGCAGGGAGCCTGATATGGGGCTTGATGCCAGGACCCTGAGATCATGACCTGAACCGAAGGTGGACACTTAATTGACTGAGCCAACCAGGTGCCCCATGCCAATGTCTTTATATGTGGTCAGTAATATAAATTATACCGGTGTAATACAGATTTAAAGTGAAGTGATTTTTTTAAAGAGATTTATTTATGAGAGAGAGTGTGTGAAAGCAGGGGGAAGGGCAGATGGAGAGGGGGAGAGGGAAAGAGGGAAAGAGAGAAACAGGCTTCCTGTTGAGCGTGGAGGCTCAATCCCACAACCTTGAGATCATGACCTGAGCTGAAATCAAGAGTTGGACGTTTAACCGACTGAGCCACCCAGGTGCCCCTAAAGTGAAGTGATCTTGAAGAGGGGTTTATTTCTTCATTAGCTCAGTTTGGCATACTGCTGGTTGTCCCCCTAAATCTATCCTCTCCTTCTTCATGGTTCTGGCTACAGGCTGTACAGACTTCTCAGCTAGAGGCCACAGTTCCTAAACTCCTTTGTTGACAGGTGTTGGCATGTGACTTTAGTTCCCCGCCCCATGGCACATGAATGGGGATGTGTCAACTCTGTCTCACTTGCTTAAAGAGAAATTGCTTGCTCTGGACTGGTAGCCATCCAAGTTTGACAACAGGTAGGGAAGATGGTGAAGGGCAAAATGGAGAGGCCTTGGGTCACCTTTTGAGGCAAAGCTGTCTCATCAGCCTGGCCACTCTATTTTTGGTTATCTTTGTTAATAGCAGCTTAGCCTTTGCCCTGATATTCCAGGTACTGACTGACCTGTATTAATGAAATATGGACAATACTAAAAACTTAAAATTTGCAAGCCTTGTGACTAAAACAGGTATTTAAGCAACCACCATGACTGGTCTCTTCCCACATGGAATTTTAAGAGGAAATTCTAAAAAATGGGAGTAATGTACTGGTTACCAGCCTACTGTGGACTGAATTGGACCTTTCAGTTGACTGCTCAGAGGCTCCTGTTCTTACAGACTCATTCTGCAGAAGAAACAGGAACATTCAAAACACCAGTGAACATTCATTCACAGCTACAGACAATCAGAATTTGAAGGGACCTTGCTGAGCGCCGCCCCTGCACACTGGCTTTCAGAGGCCCTAAAATGGTTCTACTCTGGCAATGATGGAGTAACAGGAACCGGACTTTCCCTCCTGCTTTAAATAACTAGAACATTTTTACAGCACATGTAAAATAACAGTTTCATACACTGGACAACAGGCAGTACAGGACTGGTCCTGAGAGAAGGGAAATCAGTGAAGAAAGCCCAAAGTGGTTTCCTTCAGGGTCCTTCCAGCCTGCACGGCAGGGAGAACCCCAACACAGCCAGGTGGTCTTTCTGAGTGCAGGGGTCACTCTTTCTGAGCTCAGGGAGGCTGGGGGCTAGAATCTGTAGGTGAGGAAAACAGAAGGAGGGGCAGGTAAAAATAATGGCTGGAGAATTTCCAAACTTGAGGAAAACTGTAAACCACAGATCCAAGAAGCTCCATGAACCCCAAGCAGAATAAACACAAAGAAAAACACACCAAGGAACATCATAACCAAACTACTAAGAACCAGTGATAAAATCTTTAAAAATGGCCAGAGATGAAAGACAAATCAGAGAGAGGAATAGAAACAAATGAAAGCACTTTCTGTCAGAAACTAAATGTCTCAAAGGCAAGCAAGGAGGTGCAACCCTGCAACCTCTGTAGGCATCCCTGAGCTGGTCAGGCTGTACCCACTAGGCTTCAAGGGGATTACTGGGGGTGTTCCTCCCCAGGTCTCTATTGCTTGTTGCTCTGTTCTCTTCATTCTCATGGGTTCACTTTCTTAACTAGGTATGTATGGTTCTTGTGCCTCTTCAGTGCCGGAGTAAATGATTCTAGTTTCATCTTGTGCTGCCAGTTTCTCTCTCAGAATAGGTCTGATGCTAACACATTTGTCTGTCTTCATCACACCAACTAGTGACGGAGAGCCTACGTATACAAGTATTATGCTGGGCACTTCACAATAACTCTGCAAGAGAGACCTTTAATTAGTGCATATTAAGTATTTTGAGTGTTTACTGCATGCCAGATGTTGTTTTAGTCATTGACATGTCTTACCTCACTTAATTTAAGCCTTATAACTCTTACGAGGTGGGTTCCTTTATCATCACTATTTTGTAGGTAAGGAGACTGAGGCAGAGAGAAGTGGGGTGACTTACTGAAGACACACAGCTGATATTCGGTGGAGCTTGGGACTGAACCCAGGGAGCCCAACTCCAGAGCCTGTGTCGTTAACCCCAGCGATAAGTCTTTTTGGTGGCAAGTAAGAGATGTAATTTGTCAGGATTATAGCCAAGCTGGGTTATGATGGCTAAGCCAGGAATGGAATCCATGTCTGACTGCATGGCCCATTCTCTTTTCATCATAATACACGATCTCTAACATTTCTCAGCCTTTCTGTGGCATGTGACATCTACTTCAACCCCTAATTATCACGTTAGGCTTTCATGCATTGGGTGATGATTCTTCTAACATTCATTTGGAAAGGGGGCGGGACTCAAAATTATGAATGCTTTTATATCCTAAGTTCTAGATTATCTCTCAAATAGAAATCATTTTTCCTTCCTTGGAATAACAACAATATATATAACCAGCATATACTGAGAGCTGTCCATGTGTTAGGCACTGTGTTAAATACTTTACATTAGTTATCTAATTTAATCCTCAGTAAAATCCTATGAGTTAGGTAATATTTATCACTCCCATTTTTCAGGTGAGGAAAATAAGCCTTACAGAGGTTAATAACATCAGTAAAGCAGATAGGGGTGGGAAGTCTGACTTGGACCCTGAGCAGTCTGAAATGAGAGTAGAGATAGCTTGTGTCTTTGAGCATTTCCTATTTTGGTTCCTTTTGGTTGGAACTGTATTGTTTGCGGTTCTTCTACCTAAATTGATAATTGCTAGAGCTTACTGAGTATATTATGTCATTTACTCTTTAAATCAATCCCATGATTACCCCCACTTTTCAATGGGGGTAACTAAAATTCCATTGAGATTAAAAGATTTACCAAGGCCCCAAAAGTGGTCTGGCTAGGATATGAACCCAAACTCTTTAACTCAAAAACACATGTTCTCTCAACCGTACTTATCACTGTCCTCACAGATGCCTCTCCTAGTCTCTCCTTGCTCCAATCTCCCCCCGACCCACCCATCCCGCTACAAATTATGGCTAGTCTTCTAAAATGCCCATCTGATAGATCACTTTCCTGCAAAGAATGATCAAACTGTACACATGATAAAAAAAAAGATAATAGACTCTTTGTTATGGTGATAGAGGCCATTTACAACCTGGCTTTGAGACTGCTGCCAACCTCATGTCCCACAGCTTCCTTCCCATGCCCCCTCTTCAGGAGTACCTGTTCGCTGGCAACTCCCTAAATAGGTCAGGTTATTCACAGGCTATCAAGGTATGATAGTTAGCTATCACAAATGTGTTTAGACTCAAAGAGACAGTAGTTTGAATCTTGGTTTTATCACTTATTAGTTTTAAGGCTTTGGGCAAATTTCTTTGACCTCTTTGTTTTCTCTTTTTAAAAACTAATGATAGTACTTTGTGAGTACTGAAAGAGATAATGTAAGAACTGAATGAAACACATATGTGCCTGGTACATAAATAAATGCTCAGTACGTGTTATCTATAATTATCATATATTTACTATTATATAATGATATAATTATTATACCTACAAGTTCATTCTATTTGAACCTATTACCAGGAATATTTGTCTTCCTCATATCCACCTGTTAACCTCCATTTACCTCTTAATTCTCTCCAAGACTCTTTACAGGTGTCAACCTTCTAGGAGGTTTTCTCTGGTTGCAGACATCTATGCACATTTCCCTCCAAATTACACAATTCCCCCTATCTTTTTCTCTCAGTTTCCTCTACTTCTCTATATTAGAGTACTTACTATACTGCTATAAATTTTAGTTTCTCTATCTCACCTGCTACAAAGAGACAGAGAATAAGTATTTTAGGCTTCGTGGGCCATTGTGATCTCTACATACTACTCAACTCTGCTACTGGAGCATCAAAGCAGCCATAGGTAATACATAAATAGGTGCTGTTGTATTCCAATAAAATTATTTTTACAAAAATAGGCAGTGGGCCAACTTGGCTCACAGGCTGTAATTTGCCAACCCTAGGAACACAAGTTAGCTGAGGATGAGCTGGGTCTTTCTGCTTTGCATCCTTACCCATGACTTGGCCTAATAAATAGTTACTGAATTTAATGAATGGATAAGTCAGGGAGAGGTAATGAAAACTATAAATTGTGCTTACATCCTCTAAAATCCCCAGTTCAAATGAACTATTTCCTCATAGTCTCTTTGTATGTCCCTCTCTTACCTACCTATCACATCTGATTGTAGGTATTTACTGTTATGCTTCGTATCTTTTGGACCCTGCGATGTGCTGGACACATAGGAGGTACTCAATAAGACTAGTACTGGTGGAACAAATGAATGAGACATTCTTTGAGGTTGTGAGCATTAGAGAATAAAATAACTGTCTCGGACCAAGGAGGGCTCCCTAACACAACTCTGACTTATCCTGGAACTCTACATAAATATTACGTGGAAATACTGAGTATCGGGGGTGCACATCAGGGCAGAGATCAGAATTCCTCAAGTGTTCTGAGCATCAGTGCTCATGACTATTTGCTGCAGGGCTGGGAATCTGAATGGTAAGTCTGGCAAAGAAAAGTGCCTTTTCTTCATCTGAATCTGAGTAACTCCCAAAATGATGTTTGGTTTTTCTGAGCTATTCTTAGTATGTAGGTTAGACTCTTGTAGGGTGGAGAAGAGGGGAGTACAAAAAAGGTTAATACTAAGTGTTTGCTGCTGAGTGGCTGTGTAACTGCTCACAACAGACAAGATCACTGACTGAAAGGTAATTCTGCTTTGCTCTTTCTAAAATATCAGGCTATGAACTTTTTTTTTTTTTAAGATTTTACTTACTTGTCAGAGAGAGAGCAAGAGAGGATGAGTACAAAAGCAGGGGGAGCAGCAGAGGGAGAGTGGGAAGCAGGCTCCCCGTGGAGCAGGGAGCCTCATGTAGGACTTGATCCCAGGACCCTGGGATCGTGACCCGAGCTGAAGGCAAATGCTTAACCAACTGAGCCACCCAGGCGCCCCCTAAGAACTCTTTTCTAAACATCCCTTTTCATTGCATCTTGCCCAATGCTCTTCTGGTCCTCTACTAATACATTCTAAAAACACACTTAAGAAAATCAACTAATAGGGGCGCCTGGGTGGCTCAGTCGTTAAGCGTCTGCCTTTGGCTCAGGTCACGATCTCAGGGTCCTGGGATCAAGCCCTGCATCGGGCTCCCTGCTCGGCGAGAAGCCTGCTTCTCCCTCTCCCACTCCCCCTGCTTGTGTTCCCTCTTTCGCTGTGTCTCTCTCTGTCAAATAAATAAAATCTTAAAAAAAAAAAAATCAACAAATAAACTTATAAAACAATTTCAGACATACTCAAGGAAAACTCAGAGCTGTAATTCTTCTTATGGAAGCACTGTATGTGTTTTCTAACCTCAGTCTAATACAAACTTTGTACCCTTCATCTTCCACTCAAGAACATTTAAAAGAAAAAGGCAGTGTATTCTTTAAGAGACTGTCTGGACTACATACCTATTTGGAAGATGATGGCTGCCGAAGGTCGTACTTCCCCCAGGACCCACAAATAACCTCAGGCCTTCTTCTGCAATTCACATTTAAAATACTTGTTATAGGTACACTTACTAGATTGTCATCAAATAATATTCCTATTGTACTCCATTTATATTTTACATTTCAGTTTTATTAAAGAAATAAAAAACTTAAAAAACTGCACGCATCTTTTCAAACAGGCAATTTAGAAGATATCCTCATAGTTATTTCTCAACTTCCCTAAAGCTATTTTTCTTTAAAACTGAGTAAAGAAGACATCTCTTCCTATAAATTTCCACAAGTAAGGTTTAATTATTTCTCTTTACAACCAGTTACATAGTAAAACTAAGTCCACTGTTAACTGCTCCCTATTCACACCAGCATGGATAATTACACCTTTCAAACTGGTGGCATGTAAATTTTCAGCCTCAGTGAAAATGTTGAGGAAGGAATAAAGGATTCTATTATTCACTATCATCTCAAGATCACCACCCAACCCTCCAAATTACACAGTGATGTGAAGTCCTAGTGTCCAGTTATGTCAAAACAGACGTAGACATCGTCCATAAGGTATATAAACATGGTGGACGTTGAAGCATACACAATAAAACCTCTCATCAAAATTGATGTTTTTAAACTCAGGTTCATTCTTTTCCCAATTTAATATCCATTCCTGGAAATAAATGAGCTACAAAGTTATCTTCAGTTTTTCATGGGCAATGAAATTCATTTTATCGACGTGCAACAGTCAGGGTGATGTAGGGCCCCTTCCTTGGTGAGCACACGGACTACACGGACCTGGGTTGCAGACATCTATGCACATTTAATATTACTCATATACCTTCGGCACTGGAATCAAGGCTGAAGTCTTGACTCTGTAGGATTTTCTCCACAATATCATCTGCATCCACTCTGGTGTCATCGACTCGCTTCAGCTGAGATTCTACAGAATCTTGCTTCACTGGGCATCTTGGAAAATAATTAAAAAAATTTTTCCCCCTCCTTTTTCTTATGAGAACAAAGTTGTTTTTTTCTCCCCATTTAAACACAGACTGAAAGGATACCTGGTGAGCAGTTCCGAAGCAGTATCTTCTTTGCTGGCTGGATCAAGGTTTGGTTCAGCTGTTTTTGGCTCAATTTCATCACACGGCTCTAGAATGCTTTCAATTCCCGTTGATGTGCTTCCCACTGAGGTGTTTCTCCTGTGACAGAGCTCAGAGAAACTGGATGACCGGGAGTGGCACGAGCTATACCCTGTCAGAGAAAAGCGCTCTGGATAAAACACTAACATCAAATACGCTGCAATCAAGCGTTCTTCTTCCACACCCCAGCAATTTCAATTAATCCTTTAGAGCAATAAATATCTAAGGATTTCAACCTCACTGTTAGCCTCTACCTGATACTTTGGACTGCTGGCTTGCATAGCTTGATGTTCTAGAATGTCCACAGGCACCAAGTTCATCTGGAACAGAGGCACTCTTTGCCGAAAGATCTGCAATGTCATACACAGTGTTACTATGACTGCCGACAAGTCAATGGTCAATTTGTATTCTCATCTGCAGATTTTGTAAACTGCCAAGTTCATTATCAAGAAAAATTAGTTACAAAGTGAAAGAGACCCTTTTAAATTGGTACAATGTCAACTGCATTGCAAGAAATACAAAAAACTTAGTTTATTGAAGTTTTTTTTCATAAGATTTAACAGCACTCTCTTAAATAAAACCATTTCAGCTTTGACATTCAGTATTTCTCTAATAAAAGTGAGTCGGATGTATTCTTATACTCACAAAATATCCAGGTTTTTGTGTGCTTTCTGAGGAAATCTTTTGCTCTCAAAAAATCCATCACAGCAGTAAACTAAAGAGCACTCCGTTACTTTAATGTTAGTATTGCTAATGCTAGGCTATAATTTGGGCAAATGTCTGTGGTTTAAATCAACACAGCATGGAATGTAGCAGTGAGAATACAAGTTCTCAGGAATTGATTATAGTATTTAGTCTCAAAGTAAATATACAAAAAAACCCCCCAAAAAACTCAAAACAAAACCCAAAAAACCCCAAACCAAAAAACCAACCCAGGGTCAAAGTCATTTCTAGCCATTCCCTGATAATATGCATATTCCAGATGCCAATTATATATTTCCAGAACCAGCTTCCTCAGAATGCAAAACTGTGGTGATTTTCATTAGTGTGAAATATTTGGAAACTAGAACTGTTTTTCACTTAGAGGCAAAAGGAAACCAACTGAGTAACACAGCAATTATAGCAGCAGGTCTATAGATGATATTGGATGCAGCTGGACCAAGGAATGCTGCCCAACAAGGAGGCTACTGGAGTGACCTGGCCCTTCTGCAAAGGTTTCTCACTTCTGGATGGGCCACAAGATAGGAATCCAAACCAGCATCCCTGGGCCTGCTTTACAGTGGTTCTAAACAACAAAAATGAGCTACAGCAAGATCGAAACCCAAAGTACTGGTTCATATCAGGAATTATATAGGACTAACCTTTTATTCTGAGAGTTGGCTCAGATTTTAATTCATTTATCTATTGGTTTTCAAAATGTATTCATTCAATAATTATTTATTAAGCTCTTACCAAGTCAGGTGCCCAGTAGTATATAAGATAAAGGGAGTACAGGGGCGCCTGGGTGGCTCAGTTGGTTAAGCCACTGCCTTCGGCTCAGGTCATGATCCTGGAGTCCCGGGATCGAGTCCCACATTGGGCTCCCTGCTCAGCAGGGAGTCTGCTTCTCCCTCTGACCCTCCCTCCTCTCTCTATCTCATTCTCTCTCTCAAATAAATAAATAAAATCTTAAAAAAAAAGATAAAGGGAGTACAAAATAAATGCTCAGAGTTTAGAGGTAGAAGTGGTTATAATACAATGTGGCAAGCACTGAGAAAGTGTTACTAAGAGCTTGGAAGGATAAGTACATCGAACACTACCTGGTAGTGGGGGCAAGATCCCATAGAGGAGGCTACCTCGAGGTCTTTTTTTAAATTTATTTTTATGTTTTAAATATTTTATTTATTTATTTGACAGAGAGAGACAGCAAGAGAGGGAACATAAGCAGGGGGAGTGGGAGAGGGAACATAAGCAGGGGGAGTGGGAGAGGGAGAAGCAGTCTTCCCGCTGAGCAGGGAGCCTGATGCGGGGCTCGATCCCAGAACCCTGGGATGGTGACCTGGGCTGAAGGCAGATGCTTAACGACTGAGCCACCCAGGCGCCCCACCCTTTTAAAAAGATTTTATTTATTTGACAGAGAGAGACACAGTGAGAGAGGGAACACAAGCAGGGGGAGTGGGAGAGGGAGAAGCAGGCTTCCCGCCGAGCAGGGAGCCCGATGCGGGGCTCCATCCCAGGACCCTGGGATCATGACCTGAGCTGAAGAAGGCAGATGCTTAACAACTGAGCCACCCAGGTGCCCCTACCTCGAGGTCTTTAAGCACGTATAGCAACTCCTTGGCGAGACTTGGTGGGGAAAAGCATGCCTCATTTGCAGAGAGCAGACAGCTTGGTACAGTCAGAACACTGGGTAGTTGGGCAGATATGACTGAAGGGAAAAGAGAGATGAACAGATGCCTGGTCGCGAGGGACTTTCTATGCGTTTAAAGAAGGAAATAATTCACTGGCTTTAAGCAAAGGTGTGATGTGACTAATCTACATCCAGGCCCCAGGATGGACAGGGCGTGGAGGAGTGAAGGTTTCCACAAGAACCCAGCTGAGAGAGAGAGGTGGTTCGCAGGCATGAGCGGCAGGGCTTGACTGGCGAGTACTCGAGTGCGCAAGGATAAGTGAGACAGAAGATGCAGGAGGAAGGGCTGGGAAGACTTGTGCCAGGTGTGGGGACCCTGAGGACGCCAGGTCACCATGCAGTGGATTGTTCCTGTGCCCCTGGCCTTACGCTGGAGGTACAAAGACAAGTAAGACCTGATCTGATCTGGAAGAACGTGGAGTATGGCTGAGGAGAAACAGAAGCATTTCAGTAGAACAGGGAACATGAAGTGGACCTTCCCAGAAAGCATTTGGAAATGTGCACCTGGCGTTTAGGAGGGAGGTCTGGAGGCAACACAGATTTGTAAACCGAAGTGTTCGATTCATATTTACATGAATGTGATAGTTAAATCCAAGGGTATAGAGTATATTGCCCAGGGACGGTGAGTAGAGGGAACTGAACTCTGGAACATCAGTATTTAAGAGGAAGGTGGGAGAAGACGAAGAGCCTCCAAGATGCTAGAGAAGGAAAGGTCAGAGAGGAGGGAGCCAAGGGAAAAGAAGGCTTCAAGAAAGAGTAAATGGCCAAGTCAGGTGAGAGCAGAAAAAACGCCCACAGGATTTGACAGTCATGTTACTGGAGACATAATCAAGACAGGGCAGAAGCCAGAAGCCAGGTGTCACATGTGTTTAGGAATAAATGCACAGTATTCTTCCTAGAAGTTTGGCTCTAAAAGGCATGAAAGAGGGAAGGGGAAGGGGGGAGAAGCAGGGGAGGGGAGGCTGCAGGAAGAAGAGCATGAACCCACAGAGGAGCAGTAGACGGAGGATGTAGGGCCAGTGAGTTTTTTTAAAAATAAAGAATTCAGAATATTTAAATACCAAAGAGAAGGAGCTAACGGAAAGTTTAAAAGTATGCAAAGGATTGATCCTAAATCATGAGAACTGTAGTCCTTATTATCAACAAGAAACCTTATCTTTGCATATCTAGAAAGGTGATGAAAATGTTAATCCCATCACTACACCTTTCTTTTCATGCTTTCAAATAATAACCTCCCTCACAAGAAAGAAAAGAAGAGAAGAAAGGAAGCTCCGGAAGTCTTTTTTCTTCAGCCAGTTTAACATTTTCCCCACCCTGCTTTTAACTCCTGGAGCAGATTCTGACTGTGGCTGGGAGTCTGTCCAGAGAAGCAGCATCCGTGTCACCTGGGAACTCAATAATGCAATTTTTAGGCCCCAACCCCGATCCACCCAATCAGAACCTCCGGCTGCACGTTTAACAAGCCCACCAGGTGACTCTGATGTACACTCATGTTTGGGCACCACTGACAGAGGAAAGTGATCCAGGGAGGAGAAGCAACACCTGACAGGTTGCTGGGCATGTGGAATAGGCAAACTCCTGCCGAAGTACACAATTGGGGGGTGGGGGGCGGTGTGTCACTGCAACATTTAGCTCTTAATCTGTCAGGGCAATCTGTTTCAGACAAATGAAGCATTGGCTTAACCAAAAACTGTGTAATTAAAACTCCGCTGATAAGTATTGGCCCATTTCATCAAGCCATCTACCCAAAGAATTTTAAATCTGGGTGGGACTTTGGGAATCTTTTAGGATGTCAAGTAGTACAAACGAAAAAACCAGTATGCCACACACACCCGTACCTGCTATTCCAAGATGGATTTTGAGAGTCTCTCCACCTTTTCTGTCTTCTTCCAGAGTTTCAGATTCACCAGCAATTGGTATAGACATCGATGTAGAAGGAGGCCTATAAATATTTCTAAGGATCAGAACTTGATTGATGGGTGAATCTGAAAGCTTGAAATAGTGTTAAAGACTGGATGTGGGGTCAGTATACAGCCTTAGTAAGGTGCGTGCTTAATGTTACCTCTGAGGGTGAGTGTAATAAAAATCAACAAATACTGTACGAGCTTCCTCAAAACTGGAATAGGATTCATGGGGGAGAAAAAGGATTTTTACTCAACAGAAAATGTGAGACCAGAAAGGGCACTGCCTTCATGGAGTGTGGGAAAGAGAGAGGCTCTGTCCGTGTGTCCCCGGCACCATCAGTGGAGGATGCTTCAGCCGTCAACTCAGACGATGCAGGGAGACAGAGGGGGTGCATTAAGCCCCTTGGTGCCCGAGGTTGTGAGGCTGTATCATGCTTCCTGCTCCAGTGCCTAAGCTCTCTTGTTGGCTCTACTAACGTCTTATAAACGGTACCCATGGTTCTCTGTAAACAGTTCACCTGCCCCAGGGGGAGTCTGTAAAGAACTCCAGTTGTTTAGATTTGCTTTTTGGGCTGGATTCTCTGGGGTAGGTGATGGGTATATTTTCATTGGCTAATTCAAGGCTCCTCTCTCCATGTGGAGGCTGTGAAGCAGGGAGGGGCAAGTCTGAGTTCTAACAAGAATCTTTTTTTTTAAAAATAAAACATCCCTAACCTATTAAGGTTGATAGTCTAGAAAAAAAACAAAACAAAAACACATCCTCCTAGAGACTATCCCTTGGTGACCTGAGGTAAAATAGGAAGGTGGGTGAAGGGACAGTGAAACTGACCCACTATATGGCAATTCTCTCTTTGTTATTTTGTATTCATTGAAATTCAAAACGTACTAGCAAAGTACCTCCAAAATAAAGATCACTAAAATAAACTAGAAAAGTATTTCCAAAATAAAGATGACCAAAAATTAGTTAGCCTGAGTATATTAGTTACCTCTTGTTGCTGTAACACATTACCACAAACTTAGAGACTTAACACAAATTTATTATCTTACATTTCTGTAGGTTAAAGGTCTGACATATGTTCCACTGGACTAAAATCAAGGTGTTGGCAGGACCACATTCCTCCCTGGAGGCTTTGGGGGAGAATTTCTTCCCTTGTCTTTTCCAGCTTCCAGAGACCACCTGCATTCCTTAGCTCATGACTCCTTCCTCCATCTTCAAAGCCAGAAAGGTCCCATCTCTCTCTAACTGTCCTGTAGTTCTCATTTCCCTCTGACCCTGATACTCTTCCAATTACCTTTTCCCTTGAATTATACCTCTCCCCTTTAAGGACCCTTGGGATTATATTGGGTCCATCTGGAGAACCCAGAATAATCTCCTTATTTTAGGTCAGCAGATTAGTACCTTAATTCCATCTGCCACCTTATTCTCCTTTGCCATTTAACCCAACATATTCACAGGTTCTGGGGATTAAAACGTAGACATCTTGGGTGGGGGGCTAATGCTACACATTAAATACACCACAGTTTAATATTTTCGTGACAGTTCAATAATTGTCATTTAGCTGCCTTAATCTACAGAATTTATCTTTTTAATCTATATAAAACATTAAACTGGCCAGATGCAACAGTAACAAAAAAATGTAAAGCAATATAAAACAAATTGTACACTTCAAAGTAGTGGTTATTAGTGTGTGCATGTTCATATATGTACATATAAAACTATACATGTATGTACACACGTGTAAATGTGAATATATTGTGTGTGTACATATGCTATGTGGTAATTCTTAAATTCTTACTATATTATCTCAATAGAATCCTCAGGCTATTCAGGTCCTTGAACAGACATTTAAGATTACCATTAAACCTATTTAATTTATAGATTATTTTTATCATATGATCTCCTAAATTCCAAAACTGCACATCCTGTTGGGATATTTTCTTTTTAAAAAATCTATCATCTGTCAATCTATCTTATCTATCTAGAACATGAATAGGGGTAGGGGTGGGGGAGGGGCAGAGGGAGAGAGAATCTTACGTAGGCTCCACACCCAGCGCAAGCCCAACATGGGGCTTGATCTGAGATCAAGGACCCTGAGATCATCACCTGAGCCCAAATCAAGAGTTGGATGCTTAACTGACTGAGCCACCCAGGCACCCCCTATTGGGGATACTTTCAAGTATGTGTCCTGCAAGTACACTGAGGTCAATATATCCCCAACCAAAGCCATCTTCTTTTTCCCAAATCTGCTTTCTTCTTGTATTCCCCAACTCTGAATGCCATCATGGTCCATAAAGTAACCAAAACCAGAATCCTAGATGCTGCCTCTGGGTCCTCCCTACTTGCATTTCTCCATATCCAATCAATTTCCAAATCACACAGATTCTCTCATATTTTTCCTATTCATCATCTCTTCTCAGCCTCCACTAATTACTTCAGTTTGGTCTTCTTTGTACCTTATGACCACAAGAGTCTCCTCACTAGTCGGCCTCCCTCTATCCGTGCTATTTTCACTGTGGTCCTTCTGAAGTGTGCATGTGAACATGTTATTCCTTGATTTAAAACACTTCCACAGCTCCTTCCAGATAAAGCTCAAACTCCTTAGAATGGTAATACAAGGCCTTTTGCAGTCTGTCCGAGACCTACCTCTTCAATTACCAAAGGCTGGATTTTTAAATAATGTAAAATAATAGTGGAAACCCCCCCCCCATGCATTCAATATTCCATAAGAAAAAGTAATATGCAAAACAAATACACTTACAAAGAATGGAGCCTACAGTCACAGTCATTAATCATTCATCATGACCCATGCCGGCCTGTCCTACCTTTTTCATACCAGGTCCTTTGTTCTTCTTTCACAGGTGGCCTGATTACAGTGTCTCCATCCCTCCACCTTTCAGACCCGTTCTCCAGCCTTCAGAGCTCCTGGCCTGTGGCCTCTTCCCTTCCCCCCACCTCAGTCTCCCTCGGGCTCCACCCTTTTCCTGCGTAGCCTGACTTCAGGGCCATAACCCTTTTAGCAATACCTTCAGTTTGGCACCCCTTGTTCTGTAGTCTCCAAAACCTTGAAGAGCCCCAACCCGGGATAATTTTAGCCTTCTTCATGAACTGCTCAAACACTGGGGCAACTAAGCATTATGGAGAAAATTCATTAACGATGGGGAATGAATGATATTAAGGCAAATTTACAATCTAAAATCTTAGCTGGGCCTTGGCAGCTCTCCTAAGTCTCCCTAGACAACTCAGTCATGTTGAATAAATAATCACTGAGTGCTTAGTAGTGTCAGTTTTTATTCTGTTACCCCTTTTTGTTCTGAAAATGTTTTTGTATCCCTTATCAGAAATTGTGTAATATAGCTCAATTACAGAATGAAAGAGATGAAATTTTAATTTCACAGTAATGTTTAGAGTATGTGAAAAATAACCTAAAATGACAATACCACCTACTTGGTATTCATGCCCTGTAACAATGCCATAAACTCAAGCAAGTCATTTTCTTTTCCTAGAGTGTCTTTACCTACCTCCTCTGCTTCGTAATTTCCTATTCATCCTCTAAAAATTAGCTCAGTGCCACCCCCTCTCACCCCCCACCCCCCACCCAGGGAAGACTTTCCTGGCTTTTAAGAAAAAATAGTTAGGGACTCTCCTCTATGCCTTGAGAGCATCATATGTTCTGTGTCTATCTCCCAAATAAACAGTGAATCCTTCAGAGCAGGGGCTGGTCTTAATTTAGTTTGGTAAATGTTAGCACATGGTAGACGATCAATGCATATGTACTGAATAAATGAGTGAATCTTGAATCTTGGGACCCTGGACAAGTTAGTTCCTTAACCTCTGAGCCTCAAGGTCCTCACTTAAAAAATATGGATAATGCATCACAGAGTTGTTTCAAGAATTAAATTGGGAGACAGTAATAGTCACTAAGTCATTTTGACAAATCGTAATTTCCTTCCTTCTGGAATACGAATGCTCCAGAGCCCCAGCTACCCAAGAGGATTACATCATCCCTAGATCTGCATTACCACCAAATTGTCAGGTGCCAGTGTAGCATATAATTTTTCTCTTGAAATATTCTTTTCCTGTATTAGTACTAGTGTTGGCTTTCTTTTCAGTCAGTTTCATTCTTTTACAAGAGTTGGTGGCTATCTGATGAGTTGCAGAGAACTACAAAACAGAGTTCAGGGCAGGTAGTTAGGAGCCTGACTTCCCAGCCGTCTTAAGCATAAATACAGGCTTATGGTATGACATTTTGTCTTTCAGAAAAATCATACAAGCCATGTTACAGATCCTCTGCTCATAAAATACCAAGCTAGAATTTAAAGCTGAGAATGCCAAAGATCTGCTATATTCTTGTTAGTTTCTCCAGTAGGTTTTTAAAAACTTTATATCATGAAAAATTCAAAGATAGACAAAAGCAGAGAGAATAGTAGAATGAACCTCCCCAGCAGTTAGTTACATACATCTAGGTCTTACAAATAGTCATGTCACTCAATTGCTTTGTGCCTTAGTTTCCTCATCTGTAAGATGAGAACTTGGATTATATAATACTTTTTTATTTTATTTTATTTTATTTTAAAGATTTTATTTATTTATTTGAGAGAGAATGAGAGAGAGCACATGAGAGGGGGGAGGGTCAGAGGGAGAAGCAGACTCCCTGCCGAGCAGGGAGCCCGATGCAGGACTCGATCCAGGGACTCCAGGATCATGACCTGAGCCGAAGGCAGTCACTTAACCAACTGAGCCACCCAGGCGCCCTATATAATACTTTTAAAACTGGCTTTGTGAAGCTCCCTTAGAGACTTCAGGGGTACTAAGGTACTCTACCTTTTTGCCCCTCAATAGAAGAATGTGATATACTGGGAGTCATCATACATTTAAGCAGAAGGACTTTGTGGCTAAATATTCTGAAAAAAAAAAAAAAAAAAATCACTGGACTAGACAACCTCCAACATTCTTTTCAGCTCTAAAGCATTGTGATTTTACATTTCTGATATATACTGAAATACAACCTAATAAAAATAACTTACTTTTTCCATCAGTCATTTAAACACTTTCCTATTCAGTCTATATTCAGCATGTGCAAGTGCATGGATGTGTCAGAGCTGCCCCTTTTCCACTGATACGTGTACAATTTCAGATATTCAGAGAAAAGAGAAAATAAATATTGGGGGTTTGTTTTTCCCAAGAAATACTTTTATGTATTTTGGGATTAGGTAAGGTCTGTTTATTCTAATGAGTTATAAACATCTTTCTCTATAAGTGTAAACTCTAGACTGTCAGATTTACATTCCTGGAGATAATATAGAACATAAGATGATCTATTTTTGAGCTCTTTAGTATTTGAGTTGCACAAATAGATAAAATGGTAGAGAAAGGGCCAGAAAGGGAATATTCATAAATTCACGAGAAGGAATGATGAATTCCTTTTCTTCTACTTAGTTTTGCTGTTCATTTTCTCATTTCACCCTAAGCTGATTCCACTAGAAAAATATTGTTACCTAAGAAGCCAAATACAGTATAGCAAAAATTGTTTAGTCCTAAGAGAGCAGGATGTAAAGAAATAAGCCAGGAAATTATGGTTTGAGAGATGACAACACAGGAAGGATAAGTTATAGTAAAATGCATAGTTTAATCAATAATTCATTTTTACAAAAATTTGTATTTTCATCTTTACAAAACACTGTAAATAGGGAACTATATGGACACTGCTATTAAAATTTAAAAAAAAAATTTATTTTAGGGGCGCCTGGGTGGCTCAGTCGTTAAGCGTCTGCCTTCGGCTCAGGTCATGATCCCAGGGTCCTAGGATCGAGCCCTGCATCGGGCTCCCTGCTCGGTGGGAAGCCTGCTTCTCCCTCTCCCACTCCCCCTGCTTGTATTCGCTCTCTCGCTGTGTCTCTACCTCCCTCTGTCAAATAAATAAATAAAATCTTTAAAAAAAAAAAAATTTATTTTAGAGTGAGAGAGAGTGCAGTGGGAGGGGCAGAGGGAGAGGGAAAGAGATGATCTTAAGGAGACTCCCTGCTGAGCGCAGAGCCTGACAAGGGGCTCAATCCCACCACCCTGAGATCATGACCTGAGACAAAATCAAGAGTTGGACACTCAACCAACTGAGCCACCCAGGCGCCCCTGGACATTACTCAAAAAAACATGAAGTTGATGCACAGGGAAATAATTAAGGTTTTCTTTTCTAAATATATTTTTTCTCAGATCTTTAAATAATATATAATTAACTTTCTTTTTCAATTGTCTTCAGGAATTGCCTTTGCCCATTCCATTCACTCTCCTATGCTCTGAGAGGACTTTTACACATCTTTCCTCAAACCCCCACCTCCATCTTTCCCATCCCCACTCTTCAGTGATCATCTTGTTTCCTATTTCACTAAGAAATCAGGAACAATTTGAAAATAACTTCTATTTGCTTCCACTTTTCATATACCTGAATCTGAAGCCTCATTCTCTGCCTCATTCCTCTTGACAATCCAAGGACACTGTCTAGCAACTGTCCTTTTTCTCTTCTGTACCACATCTCTCCTTCTCTCTTGAACCATTCATATCAGTACACAAATATACTGAACTATCTCCCATCTTAAAACAATCCCAGGGGCGGCTGGGTGGCTCGGTCGTTAAGTGTCTGTCTTCGGCTCGGGTCATGATCCCAGGGTCCTGGGATTGAGCCCCGCATCGGGCTCCCCACTCGGCAGGGAGCCTGCTTCTCCCTCTCCCACTCTCCCTGCTTGTGTTCCCTCTCAGTATGTCTCTCTCTGTCAAATAAAATCTTTAAGAAAAAAAAAAAACAAAAAAACAATCCCAAAGACCTGCCTTGACCCTGTATCCTCTTTTTATTTGTAACTCCATTTTCTGTTCCTATTTTTGCAGCAAAATTCCTCATAAGAATTGTTTATATTGTCTCCAATTTTTCTCCTCCCAAACCCTCTTTGACTCACTCCAGTAAGGCTGCAGGCTCAGAGCATTCTACCGAAGTGCTTGTCAAAGGTACCAGTGGTCTCTGTACTGCAGAGCCAAAGGTCAGTTCTCAGTCCTCATCTTCTGTGATCCACGTCCACGGTGTGGGACAGAGCCGATTGCTCTCTCCTTTTTGAAACACATCCTTCACTTGGTTTTCAGGACGGTCCTCTCCTTTGGTTTCTTCCTCCTCTCTCACACTTGTTCCTTTGCTGGTTCTTCCCTGTCTCCCCAGTCTCCAACACACTGGAGTGTCCCACCCCTCAGTCTTTTTTTTTTTTTTTTTTTTTTAAAGATTTTATTCATTTATTTGAGAGAGAATGAGATAGAGAGAGCATGAGAGGGGGGAGGGTCAGAGGGAGAAGCAGACTCCCTGCCGAGCAGGAAGCCCGATGCGGGACTCGATCCTGGGACTCCAGGATCATGACCTGAGCCGAAGGCAGTCGCTTAACCAACTGAGCCACCCAGGTGCCCCCCCTCAGTCTTTTTATACTCACTCCCCCTGGGTCATTTAATCAAATGTCATGGCTTTAACTACTCTCTATGTGCTGAAGATGTCATGATCTCCAAATTTGTATCTCCAGCCTGGGCCTCCTCTGTAGTGTCATATCCAACTGCCTACTTGAAGTGCCTGGCTGGATGTTAAATGGGGATCTCCAATGTAACATGTCCAACACCCAAGCTCCCAGCCCCCAACCTGTTCCTCTTAGAGGCTCTCTCATTTCAAAAAATGAGTTACTCAGGCCCTAAACCTTGGACTACTGAAATAGCCTCCTAACTCATCTACCTATTTCTGCCCTTGCTCCCGTCATCGTTCCCACAAATTGTCTATTCTCTACCTAGCAGCCATAAGTCAGATAATTTTATTCCCCTGCTCTAAACCCTCTAGTAGCTTTTTTTTTTTTGCCATTTTATTTTTTATTTTTTTAAGATTTTATTTATTTTTTTGACAAAGAGAGACACAGCGAGAGAGGGAACACAAGCAGGGGGAGTGGGAGAGGGAGAGAGAGAAGCAGGCTTCCCGCTGAGCAGGGAGCCCGATGCGGGGCTCAATCCCAGGACACTGGGATCATGACCTGAGCCGAAGGCAGACGCTTAACGACTGAGCCACCCAAGCGCCCCTCCCTCTAGTAGCTTTTTATCTCAGGTTGTAAGCGGCCGAGGAGACTTTTTTTTTTTTTTTAAGATTTTATTTATTTATTTGAGAGAGAGAGTGAGAGAGAGAAAGAGCACAAGAGGGGGGAGCAGGAGAGGGAGAAGCAGACTCCCTGCTGAGCAGGGAGCCCGATGCGGGACTCGATCCCGGGACTCCAGGATCATGACCCGAGCCGAAGGCAGTCGCCTAACCAACTGAGCCACCCAGGCACCCAAGGAGACTCTTTACCATCTGATCCCATTTCCTATCCCCCTCTCCTCATTCTGTCTGGTCTAGACATACCGGTCTCCTGGCAGCCCCGTGGACATACCAAACACACTCCTCCCTGAAGGGTTTTGTCCCTGTTTCCTCTACCTCAAATGCTCTTTCTCCAAATACCTGCATGGTGCACTCCCCACTTCCTTCAGGTCTCTGCTCAAATACCACCTCTGCCAGGGAAGACTTTCATCTTGACTACTCTCTATAGAACAGTAAACTTTCTCCCCACCATGCCCTCCTACCCTGCATTATTTTTCTCCAAAGCACTCATCGCCATCTTTATATTATACATTAATTTCTTACTTGTTGTTTTCCTCTTAAGAATATACGCTCCAAGAGGTCAGGGACTTGGTCTATTTTTTTTTTTTTTCACTGCTGTTTCTCTAGTGTCTAGAATAGGGCCTAGCACATGGTAAGGCACTTAACAGGTATTTGTTGAAGAAATAACTAAGTCCACAGAGATCAAATTCAAAAATTTAATTGTATAGTTTCACCCAAAACTTGAAGATGATGAAAGATCTACAGCTTAAACAATTTTAGAGTGTGGGGAGCTCGTTTGGCAAAGGGTTAATAGTAATTTCTATGTGGTCAGTCTCCTAGGAAAAGAACGGTTCCTTCACTCGTAAACACTACAAGTTATGAATATAAAAATTTAGACAAAAAAAAAAATCACTATTATACTTTCAGATAAATAATTCATTTACTGAGCATCAACTTACGTTTTAAAACACGGGTCACCAGACATCAGCTGCATACTGATCAAAACCTGGGTATTACAAAAAGAAATATGATTATAAAAGTTCCCTTGAGAGGAGAAGCCGTGTTCTGCTAATCCACGCATCCTCCACAGAACCTAGGCCAGTATTTCCTATTCAGAGATTACTCAATAAAGCGATTGCTGAATTGGGTTACATCCAGTATTAAATTGCTGCTTTACACAGACCATTTTCAACATTCAAAACTTGGTAATGGCGAAAATCGGCGTGGGAAAGGTGGAAATGGAGAGCCAATGCTGTGATGGCCCCGTGGGTGTGCGCAGCTCGCCTGGTCTCCTGTATGTCTTTCCTCCCAGATTCCTGTGGTGCTGAAGCATCTGGAATGCTTCCCTCCAACGTGCCATGTTGACCCTTCAAGGGGGGGCCTGCAGTGGCTTGTGAGAGCAGAATGCTTCTGGGCTTTTTCCAGCTTCAGAACAGAATTTAAAGCTTTGTTAATGCTTTCTGAAATGCTGCTCTTCTCTACTTGCTCACGGTCTCTTTAAGACTCAACCATAGGATCTTGTTATGTTCTTCTGGGAATAATAACGGTAATAGCAGTAATAACGACAACATTAACAGCAATCGTGATTTGAGAATTATGTGCCAGGCGTAAGCTAAGTGTTGTAGACTGCATGATTTCATTTAGTGTTCAAAACTCCTAGGAGAGCCTGATACTTTCCTTTTAAGCTCAGGAGATGAAGTGATATTTTCAAGATCAGGTAGCTAATAAAGGGTAGAGCTGAGATCTGAAACTAGGACTGCGTAATACTGAAACTCATGGTCTTTATGAAGAAGAGAAAATTTATATACGTGCATATTTTCTACTAGTGGCTGACATGTATCCTAACAGAACCTCATTTCTTTCTTATTTCTTCACCCCAGTGCCTCCACTGCTGTTCCTCTTCTCTCTGAGCGCTACACGAATTAAATGTGGGACCTGGGCCGGCTGTGCAGGCATCCTTATCCCTTCTGCTTTCATAGATCTCCACAGTCTGGTTTCTAACTATATCAAAACAGCACTCTTGAATACCCTGAATGTCTCAGAAGGGATGGAGAAGGCACATGCAGCTTTTAAGACATTGTGTGGGGAAGCAGAACAGAGAGTGGGATAGTGGTTGGAGGAGGTAAGAAGTGGTTTTTGTTTGTTTTAAATACAGTAGCTATGAGAGCTGTTTCTTCATATGTTAATGAGGATGATTCACTGGAGATAGAGATGATTAGGAGAAGGGACAGTCCAAGCTGCATAGCTCTTGATTAGTCAAGCTTTGGACTCTAGCACTTAAGAGGAAGGAGTGACTTCTGACAGGGAGAGGGACATTTCCTTCATTGTAATGGGGGCAAAAGGGCTAACAGGGCTGGAGAGACAGGAAGAATTGTAAATTCTGCAACAGGAAGATGAGGGAATTTGAATTTAATGACTTCTGTTTTCTCCATAAAGGATAAAGTAAGACCACTAGCTGAGAACAAGGGTGGTGTGTGGAGATATGAGGAGAAAGAAGGTATAAAATAGAGTATTTGGAAACTGGGAAAGGACGCTTACAAAGGAAGTACAGTTGCTTGATGGTGGCGAGCAAGACTGTAGGAACGGCAGCTATATGGTGGTGTGATCTTCTCCAGCAACGTTCGGCAATTAGGGTGTAGGCCCAGAGAGGTCAGCTGAATTTGACTGGGGTCAGGGACTCGCCAGGGGACAGCAATGAGGGAGATGGGCAAAGCAGCAAGAAGTGTTTTTAAGCATAGGAGTATCGTGGATTCTGGAATCTAAGCTGGATAAAGAGGGCAGTGGAAGCAAGTGGAGGCTGGTAGAGAGTGAGAGAACAGTAAGGTGAAGGACAGCTAAGTGAGCAGGAGACCAAGAGGACTGGAAACATAAGAGACAGTAGTAGCAGAGGGAAATACTGTGGTGAAGTTTCTAGAGATACAAAAGTCTAGAGTTTGGGGGGAGGAACTGAGATGAAGAAAAAGAAAAAGTTGCTGGAGAAGGGTAGTGTAAGGAACGGAGAGGCCTCAGGCACATAAAAGATTAGCTAGAGGGAGAGAATGCACAGAGAAGACAGTCCCCAAGGACAGATCACCCACCAGATGGTGAAGCCACCAAAACATGGTGACAGAAGAGATGGAAAGAGAAACTGTGAGCTCGGAGCTAAGTCACTGATGAGCAGGAGAGAGAAGGTAACTAGGTGGCCAGGAGATGATACAGCTCAGGCAGGGAGAGTGTGAGAGCTGAATGGTGTGATCTACAAAAGAGTAAGTTATGGGGTGTCTGAGTGGCTCAGTCAGTTGAGTGTCTGACTCTTGGTTTCAGCTCAGGTCATGATCTCAGGGCTCTGTGCTCAGTGAGGAGTCTGCTTGAGATTCTCTCTCTGTCCCTCCCCCCACTTGTGCGTGCACGCTCTTGTGCTCTAAAATTAAAAAAAAAGAGTAAGTTCTTTGTAGGATCAAGTGGGAGAGATGGTGTGAAAGGATCAATGGGGAACCAGAAGGAAACTACTCTAGGAGCTGGCCCTAAGGAATGGGGTGAGGATGGGGGAGTCTGAAATTAGAAAGTTATTTCAATTCCCAATGAAAACACTGTAATTCAGAGAAGGATTACTGCTCTTCTTATGCTGCAAATATGAAGAAACTGAATTTAGTGGCCTGTTTGGGGTCAGTCTAAGAATGAACAGCACAGTCTGTTCCTTCTGAGTCTGGCGCTTAGGCAGTACGGTAACATGAAAAGACCACTGACCACACGGCAGAAGATTCGCATTCTGGCCTCTGCTCTGCCCCCAATGACTTTAGTGAGACACTTAACCTGAGCCTCAGCTTCTTTATCTGGAATCTACCCCATCGACCCAACACTGTTTATGTCACACAGGTATATGCAAGTGCTCTGAAATTTTTTGTTATTTTACTGAAAACAAAGTTTGAAAACTGTAGGTATAGGATAACTCTTTGCTCCACTAACTTCTGATCACCCAGTTTTTATTCTGAATTATTTTCCTTTCCTTTTTTTTTTTTAAAGATTTTATTTATTTATTTGAGAGAGGGAATGAGAGAGAGAGAGAGCACATGAGGAGGGGGAGAAGCAGACTCCCCGCCGAGCAGAGAGCCCGATGTGGAACTCGATCCCAGGACTCCAGGATCATGACCTGAGCCAAAGGCAGTCGCTCAACCAACTGAGCCACCCAGGTGCCCTATTTTCCTTTCCTATCATTAGATAAGCTACCATCATGGGGAAACCTAACTAAAATACAGCAAAATGTATGTCCAGTGAGTCTTACCAAGTACAAGGCACTTTACAAACATTTTCTCAACTGGTCTCATTTAATACCCCAGCAACTCTCTGCAGCGTGGCCACGAGAATAGGAGGCTGCTGATGGTACTTGGAAACAACAGGGCCAGATGCCTAAAGTGAGTTCCACCTGTCACTTTACTAGTTACAGGAAAGCCCAGTGACTTCTCTGTGCCCACCACAGCTGCTTGGGAAGTCACTTTTTGGGAGTGATTAACATTTTTAAGGTATTCACTCATCATGCTCCTTACTCTCAATGAGCCCTTATGCTATAGCAGTTGTATGTACTATTCCCTGAATGTTCACAGCCCCAGAAACACCTTAGGATCATGAAGGTGAACATTTGTTAATTTTCACTGCTTCTGTGATTGGGGTAGCTTGCCTCCCTTGATGGTGAGTGAGTGTTTCAGTGGTGTGGTCAGCTTATGATCTCAGTACCGTTTCCCATCTTGCCCTTGGCCGTATATACCCATGCTTATTTAAAGGCAGAGATTCTCATTTGTTGACATGCAAATCTCAAAACGTGCTTACTTTAAGAATGGAATTATCCTGTCTTGTATTTTTGGTATCATAGCCTTCCAGTAAACAGCGACGAGTGGTATTTCCTGATCCAGCAAACTCTGCCAGGTTTAGATCTGCAAAGCCCAGCTATGAAAAGAAAGGGAATTATATTAATAGAATATCTACTAGGCTCCTATCATATTCTCCTTAAAATAAATATTCAATCCATGTTCTAGACAAGTTTTCTCAAAGTTCAGTCATTTGCAATTTTGGCCATCTTAACAATATCTACTCTATTATTTGCTTAACGTGTGCCTTTAGATTGGCTCGCTTCTTTTGTAAAAATGTATTACCTATTCTATTCTTGGCTTAAGCAATGCGATCTCTGAAATCACAGATTTGATGTGCTTAATATATATATTTCTTCTGTACACTTTGAAATACATAACTGTTAAAGTAAAAATAATGTTTATCAAACAATTAAAATCATTGCAAGTAGCAGTGGTACTCACCCCACACTGTGGGAAACAGCAGCAGACCAATCATGATCATTTGCATATTCATAAAGAAAACTGATTAGACTTTCTTCTCCCTGTTCTGATTCTGGCTCCATTACCAGTTAACCACTGGTGACTGCAGACAGTTGCAGGTTATTAAATTCTTACTTTCCATGCAAGAAATAGAATGATTTAAGTTTTCTTTGGTATAAGCCCCTTCTCCTTCACCACCTTCCACAACATTTGCCTCGCTGATCACACTTAAGCTAAATCCCTTTTTATGAAACCTTTTCCCCTTTCCCAAAGCTATGCCCCTCAACAACCTTCTATGCTGCTCTCCAAAGGTTTAGCTCAAACTTGTTCCTCCTTCTCATTACTACCCATGCTCAGTCCCCATTTTCTGCAGCTACCGAAGATCGTCCTGCACTCTGTCCTCTGATGTTGTTTAACCCCTATTTCTCGTTTCTAAGCGGTACAAGAAATATGCCCGATTTTTTTTTTTTTTTTTTTTTACAAACTAAGTCTGTTCTATTCTACATCACTAAATGCATATGGAGTCTTCTATTAAAAACAACAAAAAATGTTTTTGAGTTTGCAATTAAGCACATCTCCCTGAATGCCTAATAAAAAGTACTAACTGTTTCAAACACTGATATGATTTTAAGCTGCCTGCTTTAAGATTTTAAGACACATACTGGGCACATAAGAAGGCATTTTAGATGAAGATTTTAACTAAAGGCTGCAGCATTATTTTAGTAGCTTTTAACTGGTACAAAAAGGATGGAGAATAAGAACTTACAGACCAGTTGAAAGGCCATGATTCCTAAACGCAATAATAATCAGAACACATCAGCCATGGGTGACATCTACCTAATTTTCACAGGGTTACTCTAGCCTTACTGCCTTTTAGGGGTCCGACAGATCAGCAGAAAAGCCCAGATGTAGCTAGGGCAAAGCCACATACCAATGAGCATGTGAAGATTCATGGGGCTATTTGATTACACATAATCTGAAGGCTGTATTTCCTACATTACCCCTTCCCTTTAAACCTCTAGCACCTCCTTTCCATCCAAACTCTCTGCTGATGCCTTGCTTCCTAATTCACTCAGAAGCTAAAAGCAATCAAAAGAGCACTTAACTTCCAGAAGCTCTTATTGCTGGCCACATGCACTCACCTGCCTGCAGCTGCACTCTGCGTGCTGTGGGTGAACTGGCTGTGCTCCGATCTGAGGCCAACGACTCTCCCCCTGCCCTCACTGCTTCAGGAATTCCTCCCTCTCTTCTGCACTCTCAAGTTTCCCTTCTCTGTCGAACCATTCCCATTAGCACACAAACATGCCGGAGTTTTTACCATCTTAATGAACAAAAGAAAACCTCATCCCACATCTCTCTCCAGTCTGTTGGACCACTTTTCTGCTTTTATAGCAAAACTCCTTGAAAGAGTTGTCTACGTTGATTGTCTATGGTCCCTTCATCCTTGGCCACCACCTTGTCAACTTCACTTCCCCATTCTCTTCCTATTTTACTCTCCTGGCCACAATGTCCTTTTCCTTGAACATGCCAAGACCGCCTCAAGGCCTTTAACACTTAACTGTTCTTTTGCCTGACACATTCTTAGATCTTCTTGTAGCTTTCCTCCTCACTCCATTCAGGTCTATGTTCAAATACCACCTAAGAGGCCTTCCATGACCATTCTTAATGCCCTGACTCCTCCCTTCCTCCCCTACCCTGTCCCCCTTTACCCCTTGCCTACCTTGTTCCTCTCCTTAGTAGCTGTCATCATATCACATACATACACATTTCATATTTATTTTGTTTACTGTCTGTCTCCTCCAACCTTCCATAAGAATATAACAGCGCAAAGAACAATGCTGCCATATGGTAGGCAGTTAATACATATTTGTTGAGCAAAAACTGGCCCATTGGCTTACCATCCAGTTAGAATGCTGGTATTACAGTGTCACCAAGCATAATTAAAAAAAAAAAAACCAATCTGGTCAGTCACCATTAAGAAAGCATATTAAAAGGTGGGGTATGTCAATGTGATGTTTTAGGCTGCAGGTTACCAATGAAGGCTGTGATGTTTCAGGCTGAAGGTCAACATTTACTGAGCACCTTTTGTGTGCCAGGCCCTGTTCTGGACACTGCAAAACAGTGATGAACAGGACAGATCAGGACTTGGTGAGGCACCAGAGAGTCCATATTTCCTTATGATTTTCTCTTTGGCTTTACTGAGATAACAGTCTCGTTAAAATGGTGTATCTACATAGCTATTAGTTATATCTGTGGTAGATATTACTTCATTTGGCAAATAATTCTGAGCATCTGCATTTCAGGTAACATTAGGCATTGGGAATGTAAATCATTCCTAGTCTCAAGGAGCTCATAGTTAAATTCGAGAAGATAGAAAGAAAATACATTCTTATAAAAAAGTTTAAGTGCTGGGATAGAAGAAGGCACAGTTACAAGACAGAAAAGAAAAGAAAATTTCTCAGGGGAAGGGATGACTAAACTGAGTGTCTAATGCTGTATGAGTTGACAGGACAAAGGAAGGGGGAAGCGCATGCATAACAGGGAAAATATCAAGTCATAAGGCAAAGAGGCTAAAATAGCACGGTACACTCCAGGAAGTTTCTGAGGGCAGTAAGTCTGAAGCATAAGAATAAGTGAGTGTGAGCATTCACAGATGGCGTCCAAGATGGGTCTAAATGCTGGGTTAAAGACTTTTCATTTCATTTTCCTTGACGGGCAATAGATAGCTGAAGGACTAAAAGTGGAGGAATGATCATGTTCAAATTTCAGAGTGATCATATGGCAATAGTACGAAGGATGGATGGAGGGAGAAATCAGGGGCAGAGAATAAAAGATAGGAGGCATAGAAATAATGAAGCCATAACCTATGGCACTGGCCTTGTGAATGGAGAGAAGGGATGGTTTTTAAATGAGAAGGGAGAAATCAAGATTTGTCAATTGCAGCAGACCCTGTTTTTTGCCTCCCCACCATCATCCAATGTTCTAATATTCCTTGTTAGCAGAGCCCTGATTTTATTCAAGTGTCCACCCTTAGCTCATCCATGTGCAAAACGGAAGTGGCCCAACCTCTAGCTCATTGTTAAACTGTGATTAGTCTAAGCTAGCCATGGCAATCCATTCCTATTGCCCATGACTGGTATAGGAGTGGGCATATGATCCAGTTGTGGTCAATGAAAGGCATGGGGAAATCCTCTGAGGGCTGACTAGGAAAAGTTTTCTCACTCAAAGAAAGCCATTTGTGGAGAAGCAGCTGGATTTTGTCATATGTGAATGGGTGGACTAAAAATCCACCTGGTGACCATGAGAAGAGCTAGGCAAGGATAAAGTCATCACACAGAGAATGGAAGAATGAAAAGAGAAAAGTAACATGAGTTCTTGATGATGTCCTTCAGTCAGTGGCTTAACTAATCCTGGAGCAGCTCTATCTCGCATCTGCAGCTCTGTTTCGTATCTACTTGCTTTGTGAAATTAAAAAAAAAAACAAAAAAACCACCTCTAGGTGAGGAGGGTATTCTGTTACTTGTAATAAAGAGCATCCTAACTGACACTGCAACCAAGTGCTTTTAAGGAGTTAGGCAGACTTGATGGTTAAGCTGGTGTCCTGGCTCAGATGACTGAATTGATGGAGATACCATTAGAGACTGAAAATAAAAGAGGAGTATGTGCGTTTCTGGCAGTATTACTAATTCCTTCTATTTAGCAAAAAGGTGAGCACACTAATTACTAGTAATTCCATATAGCTAGTAAAAATATAAAGGATAGTAGTGATCATGTACTACAGAATGCTAAGAGAGCACAGAGGAGAGGTCCTATTCCACTGGGGGGCGGGGCGTGAGGGGAGGTGGGATTGGTAATACTTCCCAGGGGAGACTGAATTAACAGATGCTATTGCTTAATGGAACCAGAGATCATCTTCTAGTAGGGAAGCAGAAATGTAAGAATAACATCCCATAATCAGCTTTTAGAAAGAATGTGCCTATAATTTATTGCTGGATCCAACTTTTCAACCTCCAAGTTGCTTTATTTAAAGACAGCCAACTTGCGGGCCTGGGTGGCTCAGCTGGTTAAGCGTCTGACTCTTGATTTCATCTCAGGTCATGATCTCTGGGTTGTAGGATGGAGCCCAGCCTTCCAGCTCTGCGCTCAGCGGGAAGTCTGCTTGTTCCTCTCCCTCGGCTCCTCCCTGCCCCACCCCACTGCTTGCACTCTTTAAAATAAACAAATAAGGCTGCCTGGGTGGCTCAGATGGTTAAGCGTCTGCCTTCGGCTCAGGTTATGATCTCAGGGTCCTGGGATCGAGTCCCGCATCGGGCTCCCTGCTCCTTGGGAGCCTGCTTCTCGCTCTGCCTCTCTCTCTCTCTCATGAATAAATAAATAAAATCTTAAAAAAAAAAAAAATAAATAAATAAAATCTTAAAAAAATAAAAACAGCCTACTTGAATAGCAATTAGAGGAGCAAACCATTTGATTTTTAAGATTATAAATAGCAGTGAGTGATATTAAAAGTTCCAAAAGAGTAAAAGAACATCTACTTACCTTTGCATAAGCTTTTCCACCTTTCAATTCCTGCCAAAGATAAAAAACACTGTAAGGATATCATATGATTAAAGACTTAAAATTAAACATACATCACATAATCCTGAAGTATTTATAGTTTTACATGCTTGCAAATATTGATAGTAAATTTCTAATGATCTTAAATTCAACTATTTGGATGGCTACCCTACCCCCATCCCCCAAATTATCAGAATTTTAATTGAGAATTTAACTTAAATCTGAAAAAGGCAAATGGTAAGAAGACAAGCTAATTTTTAATCTATTCTGAAGAAGAAATTGCCAAAAAGTATCCTAGACACACTGTTAGAACCCAAATCACCAAAGAAATGTTAAATTACTTACTTAGTAAGCACATGAATGACATTGTGGAAAGATTTTAAGAAGAGTTGAAACACCTACCCCAGAGACAGCTACTCTTACCAATTTTTAGGAACAGTCCAAAAGATGCCTTTTACTCAAATGTACCATACTACACACACTGTTCTATATCTTACTTTTTTCTACTATATGATATTGTCCACATTAATATAAATATATATATAAAAACACATATAATACTGATCCAGTTAGTATAGTAGAATCCCTCTTAACTAACGTGAACAAGACTGGCAAAAGTGAAAAATAATAACAAATAATATACAGGCATCTTAACATTTTATTTGAAATATATAACTGTACACTAATTTGCCAAATCTCTGGATTTAGGACATGGCACAGTTGTGAGAATTAAGTGTAAAATACTTAGAACAAAGCCCAGCACACAATATACTCTGTATGTGTGTTTGCCATTACAATTAGGGTCAAAATCTCCTCTCCCTACCCACTTTTAAAAAATTAGTTTTAGTACAACACAGTGATCTGACAATTCTAAACATTATGCAATGCTCATCATGGTAAGTGTAGTCACCATCTGTCACCATACAACACGATTACAAAATTAGTAACTATATTCCCTATGCTGTACTTTTCATCTCTGTGACTTATTTATCTTGTAACTGGAAGTTTGTACCTCTTAATCCCCTTCACCTCATCCCCCTCCCCTCTGGCAATCCCCAGGTTGTTCTCTGTACTTAGATTCTGTTTCCGGCTTTTGTTTGTTTGTTTTGTTTTTTTAGATTCCACATATAAGTGAAAGCATATGGTATTTGTCTTTCTCTGACATTTCATTCACTTAGCACAGTACCCTCTAGATCCATCCATGTTGTCATGAATGCTAAGAGTTCATTCTTTTTTATACCATTTCCATCTTTAAAGTGGTGAATTTAAGCTCTCTGCTCCTCCCTGTTTGACAGAGAGCCACATCTTATGGTTCAGTGCCAGCCGTGTCCCTGAGAGTAAACGGATTTGGCTTTATTGGGTGCCTGGTCACTAGGGCTGCTTTTAACTCTGGCAAAACAGATAACTGTCACCATCAGTGACCCCTTCATTGACCTCAAATACATGGTCTACATGTTTCAGGATGATTCCACCCACAGCAAATTCAATGGCACAGTCAAGGCTGAGAACAAGAAACTCGTCATCGATGGAAAACTCATCTCCATCTTCCAGGAGTGATATCCAGCCAACATCAAAGGGGGTGATGCTGGTGCTGAGTGTGCTGTGGAGTCCACTGGGGTCTTCACCACCATGGAGAAGGCTGGGGCTCACCTGAAGGGTGGGGCCAAGAGGGTCATCATCTCTGCCCCTGCTGCTGATGCTTCCATGTTTGTGACGAGCGTGAACCATGAGAAGTATGACGACTCCCCTCAAGATTGTCAGCGATGCCTCCTGCACCACCAACTGCTTGGCCCTATCCTTGACAACTTTGGCATCATGGAGGGACTCATGATTCATGACTCCATGCCATCACTGCCACCCAGAAGACTGTGAAGGACTCCCTGGGAAGCTGTTGCACGATGGCTGAGGGGCTGCCCAGAACATTACCCCTGCTTCTATTGGTGCTGCTAAAGCTGTAGGCAAGGTCATCCTTGAGCTGAATGGGAAGCTCACTGGTATGGTCTTCCATGTCTCCACCTGCAACGTGACAGTCGTGGATCTGACCTGCTGCCTGGAGAAAGCTGCTAAATATGATGACATCAAGAAGGTGGTGAAGCAGGCATCAGAGGGCCCCCTCAAGGGCATCCTGGGCTACACTGAGGACCAGGTTGTCTCCTGCGACTTTAACAGTGACACCCCACTCTTCCACCTTTGATGCTGGCATTGCTCTCCAAGACCACTTTGTCAAGTTCATTTCCTGGTATGACAATGAATTTGGCTACAGCAACCAGGTGGTGGACGTTATGGTCCACATGGCCTCCAAGGAGTAAGAGCCCCCTGGACCATCAGCCCCAGCAAGAGCAAGAGGAGGAGAGGCCCTCAGCTGCTAGGGAGTCCTTGCCCCAACTCATCCCCCAACACACTGAGAATTTCCTGACCTCTATACAGTTTCCATCCCAGACCCCATGAATAAGGGGAGGGACTTGGGGAGCTCTACCTTGTCATGTACCATCAATGTACATGTACCATGTACCCAGCCAAAAAAAAAAAAAAAAAGTGGTGAATTTAAATAAGATGGGCAGCAATCTATGGTAAACTCTATTATTCATGAATATTTGCTGCCCTTTCCTGTCGCATTGATGTCTGGCGTGGCCATATCACGGAATCTACCCTATTATGAATTATTGAATTATTCTTCTTTATTAGGTTATTATCATATCCCTTAATAGCACACTTCACTAAATAAAACAAAACTTTCTCCAGATGATTCTTGTCTCTTCTAGCTAATTCTTTGCTCCCCTCTACAGCTAAACTCCTTGAAAGACTTCTCAATTTGCTATATCCCACTCTCTAGTCGATCTACTTCAAATAGGCTTTTGTCCTCATTTTCCCTCTGCAATGGTTCTTAAGATTACCAATGATGTCCATTTTTGTTAAAGCCCAAAGGCTCTGTCTGCATCTTACTTAACCCCCCAACAGCATCTGAAAGGCTTGGGCACTCCACCTCCTTTCCAACATCATTTTTTTTTCCTCTAACCTTCCATGGTGCTGCAATTGCCTGGTTTTACTCCTACCTCAATGGCTGCTCCTTCTCACTCTCGTTTGCTGGACCTACTCCTGTATTCAACCTCTGTAGAAAGAACGCTAGTTGCACACCAACTATCCATTCCCCTGCTCTCCAAAGTAATAGAAAACTATATTTTTAGGTGGGTATATGGCTACCCAAAATAATGACAACATTTAAAAAAATTTTTTTTCTTATTTAGGGGTGCTTGGGTGGCTCAATTGTTAAGTGTCTGCCTTTGGCTCAGGTCATGATCACAGGGTCCTGGGATCTAGCCCCACATTGGGCTCCCTGCTCGGCGGGAAGCCTGCTTCTCCCTCTCCCACTCTCCCTGCTTGTGTTCCCTCTCTTGCTGTTTCTCTCTGTCAAATAAATAAATAAAATCTTTTAAAAATTTCTTATTTAAATTCAATTTAAGTAACATATAGTGTTTCATTAGTTTCAGAGGTAGAATTCAGTGCTTCATTAGTTGCATACAACACCCAGTGCTCATTACTTCAAATGCCCTCCTTAATGCCCATCACCTAGTTATCCCATCCCCCCAAACTCCTCCCCTTCAGCAACCCTCAGTTTGTTCCCTAGAGTTAAGAGTCTCTTATGGTTTGCCTCCCTGTTTTCATCTTATTTTATTTTCCCTTCCCTTCCCCTATGTTCATCTGTTTTGTTTCTTAAATTCCACATATGAGGGGCGCCTGGGTGGCTCAGTTGGTTAAGCAACTGCCTTCGGCTCAGGTCATGATCCTGGAGTCCCGGGATCGAGTCCCACATCGGGCTCCCTGCTCAGCAGGGGGTCTGCTTCTCCCTCTGCCCTCTTCCCTCTCGTGCTCTCTCTCATTCTCTCTCTCTCAAATAAATAAAATCTTAAAAAAAAAAAAAAGAGGTAGTAAAAATTCTATATAACTCATTTAAAAAAAAAAATTCCACATATGAGTGAAATAATATGGTATTGTGCTATGGCAGGGTGACCAAGATTTGGCCAAAAGGATGTAAGAAGTGATACATATGAATTCTTGCTCCTCTCCTGCTAACAGTAATTTATACTCCTTCTGAATGTTAGAGTGATCCAAGATTTGGTTCAGGATCTCTTGTCTTCTATGTCTACACTTTCCTCATTCAAGTCTGTAGGGTTTTTTTTGGTTTTGTTTTTTTGGTTTTTTTTTGAGAGAGAGACAGAACGAGCAGGGGGAAGGGGAGAGAGAATCCCAAGCAGCCTCCACTCTCAGTGTGGAGCAGGACACGGTGCTCCATCTCACAACCCTGAGATCATGACCTGAGCCGAAACCAAGAGTTGGACACTTAACTGACTAAGCCAACCAGGCGTCCCAGGTCTGTAGCTTTAAATAAAAACTATGCTGGTAACTCTCATGTCTCCGTCTCTAGTCTGACTTCTCCCCTGAGTGCCAGACTGGTATCTTTAAATGACTATTGGACATTCCTACTTGGTATCTCATAGACATCTCCAATTTAACATGGCCAAAACAGGCCTGCTGATTTCTGCTTATCAGTCCCCCAAATTATTTCACTCTGAGCTTTTGCCATTTCAATAAATAGCACAATTACCTTCCTATATGCTCAGGCAAGGGTCTAAGAGTTATCCTCAATTCTTTTTTTTTTTTTTTTAAAGATTTTATTTATTTGAGAGAGAGAGAATGAGAGAGAGAGAACACATGAGAGGGGATAGGGTCAGAGGACGAAGCAGACTCCCTGCCGAGCAGGGAGCCCGATGCGGGACTCGATCCAGGGACTCCAGGATCATGACCTGAGCCGAAGACAGTCGCTTAACCAACTGAGCCACCCAGGTGCCCGAGTTATCCTCAATTCTTTTCCCTTCATTTACCACATCCAATCTATCAGTGGGGGTCTACCTCCAGAAACACATCCCACATCATACCGTCTCTGTGGTTATAGCTCCATGCCAATACAAGCATTCCTCACCTGAACCATCCCCACCACCTATGTGGTCTATCTG